AAAAAAAAAAAAGAGAGACGTTTCGTCGGCATACTCTGCAAAAAACAGCGTAAAATTTCCTGCTTTAGAGAACCCTATACGTTGCCTAGAGTTACATAGAAATCCCCGTAAAGATAAAGCTGACCTAAATAGGTAAATAGGACTGTAATAAATAATCGCGTCCAACGATATATATATATATATATATATACACAAGATATTTCATAAGAAAAATTTATACTCCAGTCTTGGAACTCAAACGCGATCCAAATTCAACGTTCGATCGATCGTAAGACGTTCTTCCGTCGAACGACGCGTTCACCTGCGAACTTCCGGCATCCGCTGCTTCGTCGTTCTCATACTCGTACTCCACTTCCGTATTCTCCTTCGGCTCTTCGCTCTGTATCTCGGTGTTGTTGTAATCATTTTCATCAGGCACCATAATTCTCAATGGTCGTTTGTTGCTGTATACATTTTGCCTTTGACGTTGCTGTTGCTGTTGTCTATCGTATTCTTTCTGCCGTTCCTCGTATTGCTGTAACTGTTGTTCGTGCTCCTGCTGTCGTTGCTTCTGTCGATTCTGAACTCGATCCTGGTGATACTTCTCATCGTAACGACTATCGTCGTTGATTTGTTCGTTCGTTTTGTACTCTTCGTTCTTGTGATTAGGAGGCATAGTTTCGTCGTTATGTACATTCTCCTGTTGTTGTTGTTGTTGTTGTTGCTTTCGCAATTGTCCGATCAATTGACTGTTAACATTTCCAGCAGCTGCCAGAGCTGCCAGTTTTTCTGCAGCCTCGCGATTAGGCAGCGTCGTGTAGAATTGCGTGGATATCCCATCGTTGTTCGCCACTTTGTTGAAATACGTCGTCTGGTCCTTTTGATTGCTGGTTTCCTCCTCGTATTCGATGTTATTTTCCAACTGTTCGTCCCTATCGGCGATGTACGCGAGATCCTCGTTCTGTTGCAGGTCAGCGTTCTCTTCCTCGTCTACAGACGTCTCCGATCCCACGTTGTAATTCGTATTGACTCTCCCGGCGACGTAATCCTGGTTGAACAGAACCTGCTGTTGCTGCTGCTCTTTGTTATCTTGCTCGTCGTAATTGAACGATTGCATCTGCGGCTGTGAGAAACCAGTGACGCCGGTAGGCTGGAAGAATTGGCCAAGTTGTTGCTGCAGTATGTGCTGCTGAAGTTGTGGCTGTTGACCTGGAATTAGAAGATCGTTTCGATCTATCGTGTTGGTTGAACGACGTTACTCGGCCGTATCGATGTTCCATGTTATTGATAAGAGGTAACGCGCGTGCAACCTATTAGAAGACCTCTTTACTGAAAGTGGTGCACTTTGTATCACCAACGTGATACATCCTAATCTGTGAGAACAATTGGAAAGAAGAGAAGAATCTCACCAGTTTGATACTGCTCCTGCATTTTTTGCGGGAAGCTGTTCAGAAGATCGTAGAGCTGTGTCGCCGAGAGGGGAGGTCCAGCCGGAGCTGGATGACCGACGTGCAGATCAGGAATCTGTTGGTTTATGATGTATGGAGTTTGGCCAGCGGTACCGGGGAAACCAACGTGAAGGGAACTGTGAAGATTCGTTTGCATGGGCAAGTTTGGCTGGCCGAGTTGAATGTTCGTTCCGATGAGGCCTATATTCGACGCCGGATGATTGTTCAAGAAAACGTCGTTCGTTTGCAAGTCGGGATTAACTAGCGTCGACAGCGTCGCGTATTCCGGCGGCAGGAACGTTGGTAGAACGGTCTGATATTCCTTCTGGCTGATGTCGTTGCTCTCGGTCACTTCGTACTGATGTTGCACCGGCGTTGGACTCGTCACGGTCTTCTGCGGTGCTAAACTCGTACCGATGGTCGCAAGATTGAAATTTGGTAGCAGGGAACCTACGGGGAACGTCAAACGAAAGAGAAAGAACGATAGAATAGTACATATATTTAATATCAGCTGGAGCTACTATTAAATTGTTATACTACTGAATCCGGGAACAGTCGAATAATCTACCGGATCCAGAAATACTCCGAACCAACCGTGCGGATTAAATTTATAAACAGCGTCGGTGGTCTGCTGACGTTGAGTCTCTTCCGTATTCGCTTCGTTGTTAAAAGGTCTGTCCATGGGGCTGAGATTCGGCGCAGGGATGGTGTGAATCGGCCCTTTGTCGTCGTCGACGCCGCCCCTGTGCGTCGGCGATAGAATAGCGGCTTCCGGCCTGTACTCCGCACTGTACTCCGGCATCTTGTTCACCGAGTGGAATTCCTTGACCGGCGGACGTTGCGGAAGGACCGCGTGATTGCTCAAAGAGGCTCTTATCGGGATTTGATTCTTCCAAATGGCAGGAGGCATGTTGAACATCGGTGGCCGACGAATCCTTATACGAAAGAAACAAACAAATCGGGGGAAAGAGAAGTCGAAAGTTCGACGAAACACGTGGCCCTCCACGAAATTTTCCCGACCTGTAATTCACCTGTAATTCGGTGGCTTCTGGGGCATCCGTTTCGCCGGGAAGTTCCCATTGATGTGCATCGCGTTCCCCACGGAGATCCTATGGGCGATCGGCCATGGTTTCTTGAACAGCAGCTTAGAAGGCTGCGGAGGCGGTAACGGGGGTCTTCTGATCTTGTACCTGGCTTCGACGAGACAGACACACGCGACCAGTAACCAGCACAACCAACTCGTCGCCTGAAATTTAGTTTGTAATATGTAATGGAGTAATGTCTATTATTGAAACGGAGATTGACAATTGATCGATTGTTGTCATTTATTAAGACAATTGAATCTCCTCTTGCATCTTTCTTATTTATATCTTCTTTCTAAGTTATCGAAATCAGTCAACGAAACTGCGATTGAATTTCAATGCACGTGTGCTATATTTGAAGCATTTCGAGAAGTTCTCTCCGAGGATCTATAATGATCGATGATCGGAAAAGCGGACACGCGAAAACCGGCAGACCCGTCTATACGGTATTCGCATATCAACACGTGCGCTTAGTTTCGTTCCTCGCGGTTATGGTCGCGTGTAAAGTCAATGCGTGCGGTGTAATGTAAGCCAATGGTTCTCAAATCTTCTTCGATAAAACATAACGCGATTTCTCCGTTTTCTCGGACCAACAGATATTACGTTGCGTAACCAGAGATCTCCGATTATATTTAAATTAAATTATAAACTAAGGTTAATTAAAAATAAATAGCTAAATTCTTCAAACTATTGTTGTTCGTACAATGATCAGTTGATCCTGATTATCTGAACTTATAGAAAGAAAGAGAAATCAATTACGGCTTCGTAGCAATGAAGCTAGATCGTAGATCCAACGTTCAACAATTCCGTTCCGAGCAAAGTGCCATTTTTGTATTCAAGGCCATTCGCAACCTGTTACGTTGCCAGCGTCGATTCGAACGGTCGTGACCGTGACAATGGCGTTCAATGTGTCGTTAACCGATCGTGTATATATATATATATATATATATAGTTTGAGAAACGCTGGCATCGGCAATGAAACCGAAGAGAGAAATGCCGCGAGTTGTTAGCGGTCAAAGTGGGACGATGTGCTACATCGATGTAGAAAAAGCGAGGGTAGCAAGAAGCCTAAGAGAGGAGCGGAGCTCGAAGGAAATAGTCGAGCCGTGGAAATAACGATGCGACTCCGATCGATTAGAAACCGAGGATCGTGGAGGATCGCAACCTGTTGCATCGCGACGATTACGCTTCGTTTTCGCTCGATGCCCGCTCGATTTCCGATTTCATCTATCGGCTGCGCGAAAGATTGATAATGGGAGAAGATTCACCGTGAGAAGTCGAACGTTCTTAATGAGAAGAAACATGTAATTCGTATGTAACATAATA